AAAACAACTGCAACTGAAATTTGTCACTGTTTTGTGTGGATTTTGGGCTGGAGGCATGATTGGACTAACTTTTTTAGAAAATGAGGCCAGTCAAAAAGAGACTGTTACGCAACATGAGTACCCAGACCTCTTTTCCGATATTGTATGAAGGCGATATGACCAATATGTGGTTTCATTAAGATGGTGCTACATGTCATACAGCTCGTAAAACATTTCAAATACTATATAAGATATTTTCTGGTCGAGAACTCTCTCAATTTCGTAATCAGAATTGTCGCCCTAAATGTGTGATTTAACACCATAAGCTTTCTTTTCATGGGGTTATTTAATATCAAAGATATTTAACGACAAGCTCAAAGCCAAACTACATGTAATTTGAAAATGAGATTCAATGTTGCTTCAATGAGATTCAGCCACTTTTATGCAGTATGCTCATCGAAAATTTCGACAATTGAAAAGCCGCGGATGTCATTTGCTCGATGTGTTATTCCATAAATGACCTTATCCTATATGTTTTTTATGCAATAAAAGAATTTCAATCGAGAGACTGTATTTTCTATTTAATCCCAAACTCACGTTAATTTTAGGACACCTTTAAATATATATTTTACTTTTAATTTTTAAAAGATTATATATATATCAGCTCTCCTATCATAATGTTTTCTTATAAGGCTTAAGGTTCTTCCACATTAAATAATCAATATTTAAATTAAAAACATATTAAATTCCAACTCATGAGAGTTGATGATCATAAGATCAGATTTTCGTTAATGAGAGCTTGAAAAGCGTTTTTGTCAGTACTAAATTTACTTAATCTCTACTAAACATATTTGAGCTGATTGAAGATTGCGTCACTTTTAATTCAATCTTAATTTTTAACTAATACTTAATTAGGTTCTACTCGACAGAGCTATTGTATAAAATATTAGCAATTCCTTAAATTAATTTTAATTAAATAATTAATGAAAAATTTAATTTACTTAAAAAAAAATGGTTAAAGTGTTTGGCCTTTCTTTCAAAAGTCCCAGAAATTATCCTCAAATATAAAACGTCAAAATAATAGAATGTTAAAAAATGTAGTTCATTTCAAAAAAGGTATTATCAGAACAGAATATTCTTTAAAAATAAATGAATCAAAAAAAAACATTTGTAAATTTCTGGCCTTTCGATAACATATATCAATAAGCTTAATCAAATACGCAGTGCTCTTGTTGTTTAAATTATTTTATTCTTCAAATCAATCTCCCGCCAGAGCCGCAACATCATTTCAGCAACGCACATACTTGTATCAATAACACTTATAATAAATCGTCTAAATACTTCTTCTTCTTTATTGGTGCTGGCACCGCTTATGCGATTATAACCGAAATGAAAGCGGTCCAATTACAATTTCCTGCAAAAAGGTATTGGTTTCAGCGAAAACCTCTTTAAATGAGCTAATTTTTTAAGAGGTAAACAATAGGTTTAGGTATACGAAAAGCCGATTGGTGTGTTTGGACGACATTCGAAACTTAACTCACATTGGTTTGTTATTGTTTTGATTTATTTATGACGCTCTATGTTGTCGGGATTAAGAAAAAAAATGTCTCTCTTATGTGCAATGAACTTTTAGGAAATTTTTTTGAAATGTTCTAGTTATGCCGATGAACTATGATCTTTACAGTCGAATATAGTAGTCCAATCAGTTGGCTAAATTTTTCAGATTTCCATATTTCATCCATTAACAAATCAATTTTAAAAATTCTAGTATCTTGTAAACACTTCTCGGTAGCACATTCATGTTTTTAATCAGCAGTGAGTAGAGTTGACGGCCACTTTGAACAGAGTTTACTCGTGGCCAAATGCCATATAAAACCAACACGATATGAACTAACTCGCGTAGATTTACTTCTCAATTTTTTCAGACAATTCTGTCGATTTTTTTGATGTTTTCTTGTTTCTGATGAGGCGGAGTCCTTAAAATATTTGCTATGCCATCGTAAAATGAAAGGGATATGCCAATGAATTTTGGATGGTCAGCATACGTTGTCTGTTCACTTTTTGTTGTTTTTTCTAGCACCGAAACATTAGTTGACTACTACCATATCTCTCTCGTTATTAATTACTATTTTTTTATTTCACCGAGCCTTTAATATTTTAATTTAAACTTTTTTATTAATGCTGTACGGCAGTCGCTCGCAGCAGATATTTAAGTCATGAAGTTTTTCCATGAGAATCATAAATTTATTCCGGCATTGCTTGAATAAGAAAAACACCTTTTTGGTAATTGCCATCAATAAACAATTTGATAATAGCAGAGTACGAGGTTAAGTAAAAAAAATCGCACTCATTCTAAGTCGAAGGTGAGAAAGCACAAAATTATCACAAATTATTGGGGAAAAACCTATTCCAAGAGGGTACTTTTCATATAAGCACACATCGACCTGAAACGTCACCACAGCAGCAATTCAGCTACAAAAATACTTGTAACTATTAATTTTCGAAACTGAGTTTATTTAGCTTCATTTGCCTATTAAACACGGTATTAGATACACTCGTACACTAAATTATCAACAGACTATGAATAATCCACAATTCCGTAATTTATTATCGCAAACCTCAGCGCAGGCTCAAATTTCAATCAATTTTGCATAGATTGGATTATTTGCGAACACAGGAGGACAATATTATACGTACGAGTAATTGTGAAATAAACGGTAGCGGTGTGGCATAAAATCATATTTATGTGGTAAAATATATACGAGTGTGTGTGCCAACGTTACAAAATAATTAATTATAAATTCGCGGCAATGAGCAGATGGGCCCATTTTGTTTTTAATATGCGAAAACTAATTGAAAAATATGAAGCAATGAAACAAATATGCTTTTGCCATTTAAACTAAAATAGATATAGAGGTCTAGCTAAATTTCTTTTATATTTTTATTGAATTTTAAAAAATACGTTAATTTTTGGGAAATTACATGCTTGTTTGTGCGAATTTTGCTCCAAAAGTTTTCATAATCGTATATAAATAATTTAAATTCTTACCTATGATCTTTTCATTGCAAATATATTTATGTATTATTTGTGTCGATATTATATAGATATATATATATATATATATATATCTGATATATGATATATATGTATATAAGATAATTTTTTCGATAATGAAAGCTTTAAATACGTTAATGAAGTTTATTTTGTTATTATTCAGATTTATATATAATATATTTTTACGATTTTACTAAATCAACCTCGATTATTTTCTAAATTCTTCGGGTACGATCTCTGGATGGTTAAACAAAAACTCGGTAAACTTAATTTACTCCGTAATTCACAATTCAATTACAATGCACTTTACTATTTACAATCTCTATCATCAACTTTCACAATTACTGTACTTAAATGTAATCTCCAACGTGTTTACTTTACGACTTTCCTGATGTTAACGCCAACGAGTTCACTTTGTAACTAACTTTACTTGGCAGCTGAGTGTCGCCCTTATATAGCAGTCGGCTGCTCGCAGACGAAAGCGTAGAAGCATCGAGTTGTTTGCTATCTAAGGTTCTTGTTTTATCGTTTCTAGAATTTACTAGTTATCGGCTTCTCTCTTTCATCTGATATTCGCCTCGCATTTTCGCAACAATATATTTTAAATGATAATTATTTACTATATTTTTTTTGAAGATTATTAATGAACCATTTTTTATTAAAATTTTTATCGACTTTGACTTTCATGAAAACTAACGAAATTATTTCCAAATGCATTATTTAAAAAAATAAAAGTTACTTTTAGTTAACTGAAAAATTACCATTTGTTAAAAAATTAATATTTGAATAAAAAAAATCCTTAAAAAATTTAAATTAAGTATTAAGTAAACTAGAGGCCAGGTTTATTTAAATGAATTAAATATTTTGTTTTACAACAAAGAAAAATTGGTACAAGTGACAGCTGCTTCGGAGATCGTCACACCTCCTCATCTGACTTCTTATGGAAGGGATCGAATCAATGGATTCTGACTTATTAATTTTAAAACAGCAAAATATTGAAGAACAAAATATTGTTGATAACAATTCGTAATGTGCTTTGTGAATTTGTAAATAGGGCACTGGCAGGGACCACCACAAATGGTGCTCCGATAATGACAGTTCGCTGACCCTTAGAGTGAAAAACCCCTTATTAAAGCGCAATGATACTCCAATCTTCAACTACACAGATGCTCGAGTCGTTTCTTATACAGCAACGCGATAACCAATTTTTATTGAAGAGAGTCAAGCAGTTACAGAGGTAGTATGCAATAGGAAATTCCTCTTCGCCGTGAAGACTCATTAAACAGTGGCCTGTTATTATACATACACGTACCTATCGTTATATTAATGGAGAATCAATACAGAAGGATATGTTTTATTGTGGATAGAAGGACTCCATCTCTCGCAAGCTCATCTGTCGTGCAACTCTCTGGATTGGCCCCGTGTCCTGATGCACCGACTCCGGCTAAGTTGCATTTAATCGAGAGTTTATTTAGATGTATCATATGATACACTGTCTGCTCGTATCGCTTGAGCAGGATGACCAGCTTTTGACCATTAACTTTTGTAATATATTCTCCCATATAACCCACTTTTCACTGCCTGTGATGAACCGTTTCAGAATAAGTTCGATGGTGTTGTAGCCTAGACCTTTTCATTGACGGTTCAACCAATCCTCGAACTCTTTTGAGTACAGCCTTTTTTAAATGATTTTAAACAGTCTTATGGCTTGTATGCCAATCCCTCTGCACCAGTTGGCCCGAATCAATATAGAATACAAGGTTACGACGACCGTTGGCGTCACCGAACCAACTTCGTGATAAAGTATAAACAGCGGGCGAGGTTTGAAATAAGCCACTGTACAAGGATTTGATCAAACCAATTTTGGGGTGGCCAAATAAAATCAAATATTTACATAAATTTAATACGAAAATACCATTTTTTTGCAAATAAATACTTCATTCTTTCAGATATTTATGTATATATATCTTCTTTTTTTTACGGGTGAGGAGAAGAAAAATGCTTCATCATTGTGTTGTCATATCAATGGTATGTGCCACTTGCAGATCACTAAAAAACTCTCCTCTAGGGAACTGTCGCCCACCGTGGAGCCGCTTTCGCATTATTTCAGGGTGGCGTTCCATTTTTCGCGTCTCGTAATACTTTTTCTGCGAACCTCTTGATATTAACCCAGTTTGCTTCGCTTTGTGGAATAATTGAGAAAATGTTATCTACTTTTAGTTCTCCAACTGTGTTTTCAAGTCTGATTCTCGCGACTTGCTAGCGAGTGCATTGAAAGATTGTATGATTGGCGTCATCTTCCTTAGCATAGTTATAGATACATGACAAATCTTAAGTTTCCCTATTTTAAGGAGATATTACCTGAAATATCCGTGACCAGTCAACTTCTAGACAATGTAGTAGTAAACATCCCCGAATTTCCTAGTTGTCCATATTCTGGCGTCTGCTATTAATCTAGCCATCCATCAGCCATGACTTCCTTCTTCCCATCGGGCTTGCCACTGGTTCAAAGTTTCTTTCCTTATGTTCCCTCTATTTGTATTGACAGTGCGGCCTTGGTTCTTCATTTTTTTGAGCGTCCAGTTTCTTTTTATTTCGCCTGTCAATACTTCGATGGGAACCCTTCCGCTTATTACAGCTATAGCTTTCCCTGATACTGTACGGTATGCCGACGCTACCCTCAAATCCGCGGTATGCTTTGACCAGTACCATTCGCCTATTATACTTCTTAAGTGAGTCCGCCAAAAGCTCGGCTCCATACAGTAAGATGTTAAGGGTTGCCGCAATGACAAGCTTCCTTTTCTCTTGAGTTGAACCTCCTATGTTAGCCATGAGTCTACTAAGCTGAGAAGTGACTTTAGAGGCTTAGACGTCAGATATATTATAAGTTGAATTCAAGTTTTCTTAATGCCAATACTTCAGGAGCGGTTAACTAATATTCTATTATATAATATCGAGAGTTTAATTTAATTTTTCAAAAAATTTTAATAAAAATCACTCACAGAATTTTTTCTCAAAAGTTTGGTCCACAATGATCCACTGCACACTTTTTCACCGCTTCGAATTTTGAAACACGATTTTTTCACAAGATATGAATCATCCATTTCCTAAAAGCTCTTTAGCAGACAAAGAAAAGATGTGAAAATCGGTGCCTTTATTAAATATTTTATAATATTTTTTTGAATTTTGATAATTTTTTAGGTTTTTGACATTGTTTTCTCATGCCATGCGTATTACATGACACCAAAAGTTAGAGTTGCTAGGTGTAGAAATTTTTTGTAAAAAATAATATACATTTTTATAAACTAAAATTTTTTTTAAAACTAAAATACATTTGTACGTCAAAGAACAATTCAGAACATTTTAATTATGATTGTAATTAATTTAAAAATTTTTTATTCAAGTTTTTAGAATATTATAGTAAAAATTTTAAGTTGTTTTATATATAAAATTATGAAAATTTATTTTAAAAACTTCGGCAAACCACAAATTGATCCAACCTCGTCATTAAACAGATGCTTTTGCTCTTGTCGTATCCTAGTGTTCTATGAACCTCGGGCCCGAATATTGACACCAACCAGTGACAGAAACCACTGAGACTTTTTATGTAATCCAATATGTCGTGTCAAAATTTCCGTAAAATCATTTACAAGATTTTATCCCTTCAAAGTTGAATATACTCGTATAACGTAAGTAGTCACCAGCTGCTTACCCAACCTTAATTGGCGACTTACTCTATACAGGGCTATCCCTTTTGTGGTCCAAGTGCAAAATAAACAAAATGGCCGTAAGAAAATCGCAATTCTTGTGAACGGCAAGATATAGACAAATTCGGGTCTTCGGATACCTATTAACTTATAATAGCGATGTGCAAGCTTTAACGAGTAAAATAATGATACAATTTCTGTAATCGATACAGTATTTTGTTTTGTTTTTTTAATTTTACCATTTGCTTGAGTACTTGGACGTATATAATACACCATAACCTCCTCCTAAAGCACATTTTTGCAGTAGATTTTAACTAACCGAATGTGTTGCGCTGTAAATGCCTGACTTTTATGTAAAACAAAACATGTTTGGTTTGGCAGTGAAATTTTACAAATGTCAAAATACAGTTCTGTACTTTGAAACCATAAAATTTATAACCCTTAATTTAAAATGTTCTTAGAAAATATTCACCCATACATACAACAGCAGAGCAACGTAATTATGAATATTCATATTTACTCATTAGCATTTGTTAAGTATGTAAATTGCATGTGCATTGAATGAGTATAACGGTGAGCCTGACATGTTACTTTTCAGGATTTTGAGGTGTGAATATGGAAATTTTCATAATTTCACTTGATTTGCATAACCTCACTCGCTGTCATATCAATTACAAATGCAAATACATATTTACATTAATTAACTAAAGTCATACTCATTTAGGAAAATATGTGTATTTGCTTCTGCATTCATAAGAAATTCTAGCATTCGACTGTTGAGCGTAAAATGATGTGCCGGAGTGGAAATGCATAGTGTAAGCAGTTATACATATTTATGTCTACAGCTGACCTTTTTCTACGAGTAAGATGGGGAGTATTGATGTATTTATAAAGGAGGGGCCAAATCCAGATAAAGTTGTTTTTTTTTTTAGAAGGTAATTTTGTATTTTCAATCTAAGTTTCGGAATTAGGCAAAAGTATCGGATAATAAATGAATGCCTTCATCTTTCATATCTCTCACAAATGCCTACCATTTCATTTTGTGGATGCCAGTCTTGTTCGGATGCACTTTCTTTTGGTTGGAGAACAGGGCTGTTTATTCAGCGTGTTTCCTGTTAGGCGCCATAACAGTGGCTCTTGTGGTGTGTTTGTTGATACTGACGCTGCCCATTCCGGAAAATTGGTGCTCACATAGATGTATAGCATTTCCTTACAAGATATAGCTTAGGATAGCGGAACTCTTTCTTTCTTAACTTTCTTCAGCCTCTACCCTTCTGCGCTTCCATTAACATTAATGCGGAAGGCCTTTCGACATTCTCATTTCGCTTTGCTTATAGGGGCTTTAAGACTTTAGACATAGGAGCCCGTTTTTCGTTAAATAATCTACTTTCCCTAAGCTAAGAGACTTCGTTATTCCACAATTTGAATCCTTTCTATCATGAGGGAAAAAGATAGATGACATGAGGCCTCAAGAGCGGTATCATAAACTTCTGCGACAAAGTCCACTGCTCATGAATTTTCGACGATGAGTAAAGCTCACTGAGAGAAAAAGACCTAGAGCTAGATGTCACTGTGGTTTGTAGCAATGGTTTTGCCATGTCACTCCTAATGTTCTTCCAATCAGTGTTCTTTCCAATTCTGTACGTAGCGATCGATGGTGTTCTCAAAGTGAGATGAAGAGACATATATGAATAGTCATAGAAGGAGGGTTAATTGATTACATGCCAGATTCTTTTCTGGTCAGTTGTATTGGCTAGAACTTCCCTTTTACAAGAGGTTACGTAAGTGCGTTTATTTCTTTGTAAAAGTTCTCACAACGGATATTTACGTCACTGGATCCCTAGATTGATAAAATCACATTAAAAACTTGCATAGCCATTTGACAGGCAAATATCTTAACAGCTGAGGCCTAAACCCACATCACGACCGCTCGGGAAAGTACAAACAAAAATTCAAAAAGCTCACTGACATCCCCAGTTGTAAGGTTTGATAGATCTCAAGCATTGTAGCATCAGAAAAAAAGTTTACTGCAAAAATAAATAATAGTCTTATAAAATGTAGAAGTCCTTTTATTATTTTTGTTCGTTATTGTTTGACATTTCATAATAGAAAGACTTACAAATCGTTCAACTTTATAACAAAAAATCACGTTCTGTAAAGAATGTGTTTCGCGCGCTTCGCTCAACTTATGGTCAACATTATCGGCCTACTGGGTGTAGTATTCACAACATCACCACCCATCTTGAAACCCAGCTCTGATTTTTGGATAATATTCGACCGAATAGACCACGTTTAACAAGTACTTAAGAAAATATAACTGACGATGGTGATAGTGTAGACCGTGGAGAGACGCTTCGGTACCTTTTGCAGCAGCTTGCACTGACGTATGGAACAACATGACGCATTTTACGTGGCGATCTAAGCGAAATCACTTCGCTCTATGGGCTCAAGTTTCGTTCAGCGATGTGGCCAATTCCGATTCAATGGGTATGTAATAAGCAACGGCATCACTATCCACACATCCACGCATCAGTCAATGGATTTACTGAGATAATACTTCGAAGAGCAACTATTCCAATGTGCCCAAAAGTATTAACCTCAACATTCGCAGACGATACCGCTATTTCATGTCGGAGTAAGTGACCAATAAAAAAAAATTATAAAAGCACAAAATACACTAGAAAATCGTTTAAAGCTCGTTGGAAGTTAACTGTCAAACTTCACATTCACTTTAAAGGTATACACTTGTAAAACAAAGTAAATAATAATATAAATAAATTTTTTCTTGTCAGTCTTTTTATTCTATAAATAAATTAATAGAAAAAATTTAATAAACAGAATTTAATGTAGTCTAACAATGAACGATTAATTTAAAAAAATATTAGGTCGTCTTGTTCCTGTAGCCGATCTTCAGAAGGGCTTCCAGAAAATGTGTCTGGCGGTCAGGAAGATATTTCTATTTCAAATTATCTAAAGACCGATAACTAATAAAAAATTTTAGTATTATAATGGATGAAGATAAGTGATGATCGAACGAATAGTAGAAATTTTGATTTCTCAGAAAAATAATTTTTTTTTTTTTTGATAATTTCCACACTTCAAAGTGGTTTAAAAATTCAATATTATTTTATTTAATTTTTTTCGATCACTACCTAACAAATTTGTCTTAGAAGGTCGAGTGAAAATTTTAAGCCGATCGGCTCAGCCGTTTCAGAGGAACTTTCCTCCCCGACTCTGAAAGCAGCTTTTCGATAAAAAAACGCTTTTAAAGATTCTCGAATCATTTAAACTAAGTTAAAGTACTCCGCCTTGCGCCCCGCATATTTTCGAACGTCATGAAACGAACTTAATGATAAGATTATATATTTGGAACTATTTATCGGATCTACTTCAGATTTCGAAAATGGAAATTAAAAAAAAAGGATTTTTTGAAAATTGCAAGTGAATATAACACATTAAAGACAGAAACATGTCCGATACTGAAACTAAACAATGTAATGATACCGCAAGCAAGCAAAGTTAAATTTCTCGGCGTTCACCTGTATAGGCGACTGAGCAGGAAGATCCATATTTCTCCTATTATGCAGCACCTCAAACTTAAAACCGTTAGCCTAAGTTTGTTATTGGGTAAAAATTCAGGCTTATACTTGGATCATAAAATATTTCTATATAATTCTGTCATAAAGTCAAAGTATGGAATAAATTAATGTGGCTCTGTCTGCGCAAGTAGTATCCATAAAATACAGCGAGTTCAATCAAAAACACTTCGACACCTCAAAGTTGCAACTTATGATATGCGCATCGAAAATATCCATAGAGACTTTGAAATACTAATGGTAAACACAATAGTGACTAATACCTGGCGAGACTGCGAATTCAACCAAATCCTCAAATGAAGTTCTTATCCTGCCCTGCAGTTCGAACTCGCCTTTGAGGAAGAGATCAGTGAGTATTTTTTAGAGCAACGTTTAGCCTAACGTCCAGTGCTATTAATGGACTAAAGTAGTAATTTGTTAGTAATTCTAAGACTCATTGTTAGTTGTGTGTTGTTGTTAAACAAAGAAACATGAATTAAGTTCCATTATCTTTTAAAAAGTAGTTCGCTTTTATTCAATTTCAGTTTAACCGCATCCCATGCAATTTCACTAATTTCATTTCTATTTGTTTCCTCTCTAATGTGATGCTAAAACCAAATGAAATTATCTAAAATTATATTAAATTAAAATCAGATTATACCGCATGCTCTTACAAATTCAACAAACATACGCTTCCACCTTACAATTGTTACTCCCTGAGAATGTCCGCTGTCTTCAAGCCCTGCAAATCACGAGGAAATTTACATTGCACTCTAAAAGCACATATATACGACATCTTTACTCTTATACAAATTTAAAGTTTTACTACTTTTCTTGCCTTTTAAGCTTCACATTTGCATTTGCCTGAGAATTTACAACCCACTGGCTTTTACAAATTTACTTTTATTACAGCGCACTTAGAATTGTATGTATGTACATACTGGTCATGCGTCACCACGACTACACATA